CTTTCTCTCTCTCCCTCTCTCTCTCTCTCTCTCTCAGTCAGTCTGATACTGGAACGCCCCGTTCTCTCCTGAGCTTTGCGGTCAGGGAGCTGAGCTCGTCCGCTTTCCTCACGCAGCACATTTTCTCCTGTAAACTCTCCTCGGGGAGCTGCAGTATCGCGCTGCTCCTGCGGCTCAGCTCAGCTCTGCTACTGGAGAAACACAGAGAGAGGAACAGGGAGCTGTCAGTGACGATGATCCCAGGCCTGCGGGAGATTTCCCAGCAGCCCCGAGGCTCAGAGGAGCCGCATCCACAACAGTGGGACTCAGAGTCGTCCAGATCTGTCCATCATCCTGCAGGACTGGGTCAGTGAAGCTCTGACAGAGCGTTGTGATCCGGGTAGTTTCAGACACTATATGTTGATACCAGATACTGAGACTGAGAACCAGAACACTGGAGTTCAGCAGTGAATGTGCTGTATGTGATACTGCAGTACAGAGTCATTAAAATACCATAATAAACGAGTCGGTATATTATATTACGACCGAGTACGAATACTGAATTATGACTGAGTACGAATAGTGAATTACGACCGAGTACGAATAGTGAATTACGACCGAGTACGAATACTGAATTACGACTGAGTATGGATAATGAATTACGACTGAGTACTAATACTGAATTACGACTCAGTACGAATAGTGAATTACGACTGAGTACAAATAGTGAATTACGGCTGAGTACGAATACTGAATTACGACTGAGTACGAATAGTGAATTACGACTGAGTACGGATACTGAATTACGACTCAGTACGAATAGTGAATTACGACTGAGTACGAATACTGAATTACGACTAAGTACGGATACTGAATTACGACTGAGTACGGATACTGAATTACGACTGAGTCCGGATACTGAATTACGACTGAGTACGGATACTGAATTACGACTAAGTACGAATACTGAATTACGACTGAGTACGGATACTGAATTACGACTGAGTATGAATAGTGAATAACGACTGAGTACGAATAGTGAATTATGGCTGAGTACGAATACTGAATTACGACTGAGTACTAATACTGAATTACAACTGAGTACGAATACTGAATTACGACTGAGTATGAATACTGAATTACGACTCAGTACGAATAGTGAATTACGGCTGAGTACCAATACTGAATTACGACTGAGTACGAATACTCAATTACGACTGAGTACGAATACTGAATTACGACTGAGTACGAATAGTGAATAACGACTGAGTATGAATAGTGAATTACGGCTGAGTACCAATACTGAATTACGACTGAGTACGAATAGTGAATTACGACTCAGTACGAATACTGAATTACGACTGAGTACGAATACTGAATCACGACTGAGTACGAATACTGAATTACGACTAAGTACGAATAGTGAATTACGGCTGAGTACCAATACTGAATTACGACTGAGTACGAATACTCAATTACGACTGAGTACGAATAGTGAATTACGACTCAGTACGAATACTGAATTACGAATCAGTACGAATACTGAATTACGACTCAGTACGAATACTGAATTACGACTCAGTACGAATACTGAATTACGACTGAGTACGAATACTGAATTGTTCAGAGCAGCAGACCAAACTCTGTAATCGGAAACTGATCACTGATCATTTGTCATTCTTATAATTTTTTCACAGATTAAATAAAGTATAGAGTATTGATTATATAGAATGTAGGGTGTTGACTATGTAGAATGTAGAGTATTGATTATATAGAATATAGAGTATTGATTATGTAGAATGTAGGGTATTGATTATGTAGAATGAAGAGTATTGATTATATAGGGCATGGATTAAATGTTGGGTATTGGTTATATAGGGTATTGATTATATAGGGTATTGATTATAGTGAATGTAGGGTATTGAATATATAGAATATAGGATATTAATTATATAGAATGTTGAGAATTTTATAAGTCACACCAATGATCAGTGATCAATACACCGTTGCTCAAAGCGATGGATGTAACATTGTAATTGGTCACTGGCTGGTCATTGATCATTTGTGATTGGTCATAATGTTTTATCGCTGATCGTGTGGAATGTATTCTGTGAGTTGCACCGTTGAGGTTACACCACAGGACGATTTGTAATGTGCACAGCCTGAACGGCTGAATGATGAGGCCTAACAGAGAAGGCAATAAAGAGCATTTATCATGCTTATAAAGATTCTATTTGTTTCTCTCTCTCTCTCTCTCTCTCTCTCTCTCTCTCTCTCTCTGTAGTTATGGTGTCCTGCTCGCTCAGGATGATGAATTTCCCCTCCCGTCTGAGAGGCAGAGGTAATGGGGTGGACTGAGAGCCGAGACAAGAGGCTCTTTAGCGAGAATAAGGAGCCGAAGAGGACGTACACATACATACACTACACGGCCATCACGTCCTGCAGGCCCCTCCATCACGGAGCACTTAGACAGGCCTGATTCATCGATCACCGCCCAACATGACTTCACAAACAGCGTATTAAACTCGCTTCACAGTGACCTTAAAGGGCCGTGTCATAGAAAACTGAAATTTCCTCGCTTTCATGACACAAAAACGTCTTCTACAGTTTGAAAACGTACCAAATTGTCACTCTCCAGTCTTTATATGGAAACCAAGCTGTTTTTGTGATGTCATAAAAAAACACCACATTATTATGTATCCACTTATTGAGCCTACAGCAGTTTAGCCCCGCCCACTCATGCTGAAGTTATAAGGAGTGTTTCAGCTTTGTTGCTGTTTGAATGAGGCAGCCCATCAGAACAGAGCTCATTTACATATATCAGTCTTAAAGGCACAGTAACTGTAAAGCCTGTTTAGTTGTGAGAGATAAAGACAGGGTGAAAAATGATCATGTAAAAATGAATTATGGCTGTTTTTGGTACATAAATCTACACAAATGTTATAAACGGCCCTCAAAGGAAAAATGTAAATGCTAAAATGTCGAATATGAGCCCTTTAAAGGCCTGTCTTGTTTAGATCTGCTTCCCATGGAGTTCCGGAGTCCCGGAGTGATGGATTGCTCTGCCGTGGCTACTTTCCGCTCAGGATGCCCCGTTAGCAGGGTCATTAGCGGGGGTCTCTGCTGCAGCGGGATTTTCCTGACCAGAGTGAACGCGGACAATAGCGGCTAACGACTGTATTAGAGAGAGCAGCGGGATATGAGACCCCTGGAGACGCAGCGCTAGAGCTGTGTGAGCTGCACAGTTTAACGATCAGAGCTCAGAAGGTAAAGCTGTGATTTAGGTTAAATATAGGGTCAGTACAGTAACTACAGTCTACAGTAACCTCTCTCTCTCACTCTCTCTCTCTCTTTCAGTCTCTCTCTATTTTACTCTCTCTCTCTCTCTCTCTCTCAGTCTCTCTCTCTCTTTTACTCTCTCTCTCTCTCTCAGTCTCCTATTCTCTCTCTTTTACTCTCTCTCTCTCTCCCAGTCTCTCTCTCTCTCTCTCTCTTTTACTCTCTCTCTCTCTCTCTTTTACTCTCTCTCTCTCTCTCTGTCTCTTTTACTCTCTCTCTCTCTCTCACTCTCTCAGTCTCTCTCTCTCTCTCTCTGTACAGTTTAATGACCAGAGCTCAGAAGGTAAAGCTGTGATTTAGGTTAAATATAGGGTCAGTACAGTAACTACAGTCTACAGTAACCTCTCTCTCTCACTCTCTCTCTCTGTCTGTGTATATATCTCTCTTGTTCTCTCTCTCACTCTTTCTCTTGCTCTCTCTTTCTCTTTTACGCTCTCTTTTTCTCTTTTACTCTTTCGCTCTCTCTTACTTCCTCTCACTCTTTTACTCTTTTTTCTCACTCCCTTGATCTCTTCTCTCTCTGTCATTTTTCACATAATCACTAATCACTGTCTCTCTTTTTCACTCTTTCTCTCCCTAATATCTCTCTCTCCCTTTTTCTGTCTCCCATTCTCTTTTTCTCTTTCTCTCCCTCTTTTTCTCTTCTTTCTCTCCCTCTTTCTCACTCTTTTTCTCTTTCTCTCCCTCTTTTTCTCTTCTTTCTCTCTCTCTTTCTCTCTTTTTCTTTTTTCTCTCCCTTTTTTATTCATTCTTTGCTTTCTCTTTTCTCCTGCTTTCTCTTTCCATTTTTTTCTCTTCTTTCTCTTTTTCTCTTCTTTCTCTGCCACTTTCTCTCTCCCTCTTTTTCTCTTCTTTCCTTCCATTTCCCTTCTTTCTCTCCATCTTTCTCTTTTTCTCTACTTTCTCTCTCCCTCATTTTCTCTTCTTTCTCTACATCTCTCTCTTTTTTCTCTCCCTCTTTCTCTCTCTATTTATTTTTTTCTTTGTTCTCTCCCTCTTTCTCTCTCCCTTTTTCTCTTCTTTCCCTCTATCTTTCCCTCTTTTTCCCTTCTTTCTTCCATCTTTCCCTTTTCTCTACTTTCTCCCTCTTTTTCTCTTCCTCTTTTTCCCTTCTTTCTCTCCCTCTTTCTCTCTCCCCTTTTCTCTTTCCCCTCTCTTTTTTCTCTTCTTTCTCTCCCTCTTTTTCCCTTCTTTCTCCCATCTTTCCCTTTTTCTCTATTTTCTCTCTTCCTCTTTTTCTCTTCTTTCTCTCCATCTTTCCCTCTTTTTCTCTTCTTTCTCTCTCCCCCCTTTTTCTCTTCTTTCTCTCCCTCTTTCTGTCTCTCTTTCTTCTTCCTCCTCTTTTTGCTGTCTCTATCTTTTTCTCTCTTTCTGTCTTTCTCTCTCTTTTTCTGTCTCCCTTTTGTCTCCTCTTTCTGACTCTCTCCATTTTCTCTTAGTCCTATTTTCCTCTTCTCTCAATCTTTTCTCTGTCTCTCTGCCAGTGTCTCTCACTCCCATTCTCTGTCGATCTCCCTTTCCTCTCTTTCAGTCTCTGTCTCTGTACAGACTGTATCTATCCAGGCGCTCTCAGGCCTCGTGTTCCTGCACCGCTGTAGGTCTAATATATTCTTTAGTGTAAATCAGGTCCGCTGTTGTAATTCTGCCATCCGGCCTCCAGGGGGAGCAGCGAGTTTACAGCAAACGCGAATGACCGGATGTCCCTCAGCGGCCGCCGTACAGCGTACGTTTGTTTTGAAGAGCCGCTGCGGGTCAGTTAGCGGCGGAATTAGCGGCTGAATTAGCGGCGGAATGGCTGAATATTCAAACGTAAAATCCACCAAACTCGTCTTAAAGGGACTGAAGGACAAAAGGTAACGCAGCAGCTCGCAGTGCGGAGCTGTAGATAACGCTGGGGTCCTATTCTCCGGCTTCTTGTTCGAATTTATCCGGTCCACCTTAAATGGAGCAGCAGTCGCACTCTGGCGCCTCAGGCCTGAACTGCTGGACTGCAACCGCTGCACCATTTAAGGTGGACCGGAACAATTCGAACAAAAGCCGGAGAACAGGAAACCAACTTCGTGTTGATGTTGAAGTCTGTTTGTATTTTGACAGAGTTGGTCACTGAGCTACTGATGTGTGTTTCCTGCTGTGGAGTGAATCCTGTTAATCATTGTTTATTCAGATTTTCTTACTGAAATGTCGGTATTTTAGTAGGTTTCGAGTCCAAAAGTGCTGAGGGAAACCAGTAAATCCGCACAGACATGTTTTAATCAGTCAGCACTGTGTAAACGTCCGCTTCCACTCACTGGCCACTTTATTAGAAACACCCACCTTGTACTACTTCTAACTGGCCATTTTATTAGAAACACCCACCTTGTACTTCTACTAACTGGCCACTTTATTAGAAACACCCACCTTGTACTTCTACTGACTGGCCATTTTATTAGAAACACCCACCTTGTACTTCCACTGACTGGCCATTTTATTAGAAACACCCACCTTGTACTTCTACCAACTGGCCACTTTATTAGAAACACCCACCTTGTACTACTACTAACTGGCCACTTTATTAGAAACACCCACCTTGTACTTCTACTAACTGACCATTTTATTAGAAACACCCACCTTGTACTTCTACTAACTGGCCATTTTATTAGAAACACCCACCTTCCACTTCTCCTAACTGGCCACTTTATCAGAAACACCTCCCTTTTACTTATAATTACTGGCCACTTTATTCGTACCTTCATACCTTGTATGAGCTTCACCTGCCTTATATATCCACGATTCAGGTGCACGTTTGCAGGCTGTGGTTAATCTGCTGCTGTACAGTTTATCAGCCCTGTCTACACCATACATCAGTGGTCAGCTTCTGACCACAGCGGTGTGTCAGACCAACTATCCAGGGAAGGGCGGCTCAGACCACTGATGAAGGGCCTCAACACATGGACTACAGTGTCTAACTGAGCACTAAAATATTTCTGTCTCAGCATGTATCACTGTAGTACTGCAGTTGTATGTACGAGTTCACTCATGTTTATTTGGTCGTTTATTTTTCCCTGTTTTTAATGCTGTGATTGATTTGTCGATGTATTTGATTTAACTTCTCCATCAACTCCACCAACAGCAAAAAGAAGAAGCACAAGGACAAGAAGAGAAAGCGAGATGACAAAGAGGAGAAGCCCGATGTTGTTGGTACGTTCCTATTAGGTGCTACACGTTTAACGCCCTGTTTGATCTGTTTGGTATTTCTCTGACTCAGTTAGAGAGGTTCATGCACGTTAACGGCACAGAGAGAGGCTGCGGAGTCAGTCAAGCTCAGTAAGATCAGTACTGATTTATATTTTTGTGTTTTGTATTGTATCAGTCATCTGCTTATGTCTGGCCACTTTGTGCTCTTTTTTCTAGGCGGCTGGTGGACCGTTCACAATTTTGGTGAAATCAGTGGTACGGTGGCCATAGAGATGCACAACAACTCCTACATTCACGCTCTGGACACGGGGCTGTTCACTGTCGGAGCGCCACATAAAGGTAGTAAAGGAAGGACTGGGACTGAGTATCCGCGCTTTCATTTTCACTACTTCTCCAGTTTTCTTGGTTCACTGAAGACTAGCAGCTGACCAGTCACTTCTCCCCAGTAAAGGGCTAATAAATAAGTAATGGTGTGAGAAAATGCTGGGCTATATAGATAAGTGTGCATCTTAAAATGGGAGCTTTTATTTCACCGTATGTGTTGATGAGAGCGTTTTTGTTACCATAGCAGTCTGTGACAGCATCTCATACGTTTACATGTTACCTATGTTAATAAAACAGAATGACACTATACTTTAAATGAAACTCACTAGTTGTAGTGTGAGATATGGCCAAAAATATATATATTTCACAGTATAATTAAGATTTTTGCCTTTGTTTTCCCAAATTTAAGATTTTTTTTCCAAAAAAAACATTTTAGATGCCTAAGCAAATCTTTTTTTTGTAGGTTATCCATGGCTTCTGGGATATTCTTAAATAAATAAATAAATAAATAAGGAAATCTGCAATATTTTATTGTGCAAAATAGTGCATTAAAAAATAGTTTCAACAGGGTTTTTAGAATTACGCACTGAAAATAAGTTGATATTAATTAAATGAAATGTGTTCTCTTTAAGGATCTGGTTTATGTGAAATGGACAAACATAAATTTCAGTAAAAAATGTTTATGTTGCTCCAAAAAGAATCTAATTCCAATTAAAACCAATTAAACTGCACTGAAACGTTTCAGTTTGGTTTCAGCAACAGTTGAACTTTATGCTAAAATCAGAAAGTCTATGCTATTGTTTAATTGAATGGAGACATGAGACGTAATTGAATTAAGTTCATAAAGCTGAATTTGACTTCTTATTCGCCCGCTTTTTGTTTGAATTTTCCAGTCCACCTTAAGTGGAGCAACAGTTGCATTCTGTCATCTTTATAGGTGTCTGAATCATTCTCAGCACTGCAGTAACCCTGACGTGGTGGTGGTGTGTTAGTGTGTGTTGTGCTGGTCTGAGTGGATCAGACACAGCATACAGCTGGAGTTTTTAAACACCTCAGTGTCGCTGCTGGACTGAGAATAGTCCACCAACCAAAAACATCCAGCCAACAGCGTCCTGTGGGCAGCGTCCTGTGACCACTGATGAAGGACTAGAGGATGACCAACACAAACTGTGCAGCAGCAGATGAGCTATCGTCTCTGACTTTACATCTACAAGGTGGACTGACAAGGTAGGAGTGTCTAATAGAGTGGACAGTGAGTGGACACAGTGTTTAAAAACTCCAGCAGCACTGCTGTGTCTGATCCACTTGTACCAGCACAACACACACTAACACAACACCACCACATCAGTGTTACTGCAGTGCTGAGAATGATCCACCACCCAAATAGTACCTGCTCTGTGAGGGTCCATGGGGGTCCTGACCACTGAAGAACAGGGTAAAAGGGGGCTAACAAAGTATGCAGAGAAACAGATGGACTACAGTCTGTAACTGTAGAACTACAAAGTGCACCTATATAGTAAGTGGAGCTGATAAAATGGACATTGGCCAGCAGAGGGCGCTGTGGGGTCTAGAAGAAGGAAAATTCCCGCCATGACTGACTACACGTTCTTCTATACATGCTTTAGTCCATGCGCAAGCTAAAAATCATTGATTTCTAAATTCATCATTTCAATATCAGAGCAATAATGATAATTACGTCTTTTAATTTATTGGCAAATAATATAAGCCACCAATGAATCCTGCATCCCTGCTTACTGGCTTCTACTAATCCATTGTTGATGTTGCTTTAGCCTAAAAATAAGTAGGACACTCTCCACAGTCTCTGTAATCAGTCTCGCATAATAACGAATGATTATTTACCAAGTATATTTTTCTCTTAAGCAGTTTTCTCCTTCTTTTCAAAGAGCCCGAAGAAAAGGTCTGCGGATATGAAGAGCCTTTCTAAGGGAAATGGAGCCTGTAATTGCGCAAAAGTAGCAACTCTGAACAAAGAAGAGAATCTCCTACGCGCTTCCCTCTCACCCTGAACTCATTCATTTCCTCTGTGGGTGGAGGGAAGGCGGGGAAAAAGTGGAAGAAATGGTTCCGGATCATTATTCGCTATTAGCGTGGCCGCTCCCGCGAAGCGTGCCGCAATTTCATCGCTCGCTAACCGGAAGGAAGCGGGCCCGATTGTTTCCTCCAGCTTTATCACGTCCCTCTACGGCTGACCAAAGCATTTAGCCGTGTTCGGCAAGCATGGCGCTTATGAAATGGGTTTTGAACGCCCCTCCTGAAATCAATTTAGGGCCGCTAATGGAAGCTGGAGTGGCGTTTTTAATTAGAAAGCGACTGGCTGTAACTGTTACGGTCGTCTGGAGTTGATTAGATGTCCACTGCACCAAAACTGAAGTGTGGCTCTTTCAGAGTGGAAGCAGAGGGGTGAACTTTTCATACATGCCACTACAAACTGTAATCTGTACAAATGCGTTCGGCCAGGTCTCCTGTCTTAAATGATTCATGAGTTTACCATTTAAGCTTAATAGCGTTCGCTCGTGCTGAACATCCTCTAGTTACTCTTCTCTGCGTCAGTCAGTCGGCTTTATATTAAGACTCCTGAATTGACTTATAATGCATGTATGCTGGTTTATTAAATAACAGTTTGTTTACTGATAATCTCTCTGAAAAGCTTTTATTTGTTTCTTTCTCTCTTCATCGTGGAAAAAAGTAGTTCTTATCTGTTGTGAGCTGTAAAGTAGATCAGTAACATGTTACACCATTTTATTTTCTTGTTTCACTCAGATGATGAAGGACCTGACCCACCTGAACAGCTCACAGCGATCAAACTCTCAGACTCCAGGTACAACACGCACAAATCAGAGGACTTGCTGTTGTAACGGTTGTAAAAGGTGCTTAACCTGATGCAAATTAATAAAGGAGGATTTTATTTTATAAAATAAAGCTGTAAAATGCACACAGTGTGATGTAATTATCACAGGTGTTTTCTCAGTGATGTTAGCCTCGTCTGAATTCACCCTGTCAGTCATTTTTACAGCTTGTGCCAGATTTTACCTACACTTAATATAAACCGAATGAATATCTTGCTGTAAAACAAACTGTATACATAATCTTGGGTTTTATTAATCCCTTACTATGAAATGAACAAATGAAAAATAAATCCTGTGCGATAAAACAAACTGCAGAAGTAATCTTGGGTTATAATAATCCCACGCATTAAAACAGAACGTAGAAATAACAAGCCATAGAAATAACTCAGGATCCATTAATCCTATGCTGTTAAGCGAACTGTAGAAATAACCCCAGGTTATATTAATCCCATTCTATAAAACAAACCATAGAAATAACCCCAGGTTATTTTAATCCTGTGCTTTAAAACAAACTGTAGCAATAAACCCAGGTTATTTTAATCTCATGCTATAAAAAGAACTGTAGAAATAACCCCAGGTCATATTAATCCTGTACTATAATACATATCATAGAAATAATCCCAGGTTATATTATTCCTGTGCTATAAAACAAACCTTAGAAATAACACCAGATTATTATTAATCCTGTGCTATAAAACAAATGTAGAATTAACCCCAGGTTATGTTAATCCTGAGCTATAAAACATACTGTAGCAATAATCCCAGGTTATTTTAATCCTGTGCTTTAAAACAAACTGTAGAAATAACCCCAGGTCATATTAATCATGCGCTATAAAACATATCATAGAAATAATCCCAGGTTATATCAATTCCCAGATTCCCATGTTGGTAAACATTCCATCACATACGATAGAAAACAGTTTTTTGCTTGTTTTTCTAAAGTATTCAGACACTCGAAGAAGCGTTTACTTGTGTTCTTTGTGGCTCAAATCAAGCCAGTACATACTGTCCTAGCTCAAGTGTACAGCTACATAAAAATGACAGGAAAAGGTTGATTGTATGCAGCGTTGATCACTGCTGGCTGTGAAGTCCCAAGCAATTGACAATGCCAATGACACACAACAGCTAGGTAGCTGGTTAGGGTCAACTAAATTATGGTGAAATTAAACGTTTCGACATGTTTTCTTCTTGTTTTTAGCAAGAATGTTGCATATAGAACTTTTTTAGAATGTTGGAAGCTTGTAAATCGAGTAGCCACTCCTGTTTCTGTAATTTATACCCAGATGTCTAATCTCGTGCAAACATCAGATGTCTTGTGATGGTCACTTTACCCCACCTTCTGATACGAATGACACACATTTTGTGCAGTTTTTAAGTCTTATCTGTATATAAAGTTGCTCGGATTCTCTTTCATACAGAATAGCGCTGAAGTCAGGATACGGGAAGTACTTGGGGATAAACTCGGATGCCGTTGTGATCGGGCGGTCCGACGCCATCGGGTCCAGAGAGCAGTGGGAGCCCGTGTTCCAAGACGTGAGTAGAGTTGTCAGCCATTTAATGCAACCAGTTACTTTATCAGCTGAACAGATGCTGCTGTTTATGTGGAAAACGTTACAGTGATTTGGGTTTGTTGAAAATGGGCAGTTACGACTCTCAGTGCAGTAATGCTGCCCGTATGTGACTTATACTGTTATTTACTCTACAGGGTAAAATGGCTCTGTTGGCAGCAAACAGCTGTTTCATCTCATACAGCGAAAGCGGAGACATTGTGGCCAAGAGTAAGACGGCTGGAGACGAGGAGATGATCAAGGTGGGCTGTGCACTCATAAACGACCACTAAGTCCCTGTCTAAAATAGATCCAGTCCTAAAATCTGATTGGCTACATCTAAAGCCGTTCTAAAATACCTGACTTACGTAGAGGTCTCTACGTTTTCTTATCAAACTACGTTTCTTGGTTGAAGAATTAATAAGTAAGACATTTTTTTATTATTATTTGTTTGTTTGTTTGTTTGTTTGTTTGTTTGTTGGTCAGGTCAGCGCTACTATAGAATAGACATAGAATAGATCGACATTCAAGTAATTATACATAAGGAAAGCAGAATAGAGAATGATGGAGGTTTAAGGTCAAAGATTTCCAAAGGAGGTACAAACGAGAGCAGATTTTCCAAAATTTGTTCCGTTTTTGTTTACGGGAATATGTCAGTTTTCCAAAGGAAGTGGTGTTGATATTTGAGGAAGCCAAATTTTCACGGAAGGTACTTTGGTGGTAGACCAAAGTAAAAGTATAACAACACAGAAACAAACTGATTTTTATAGCAGACATACTGTAAATAAGAGAGAGACCTGATGTGGCTTTGCACTGGTGATGGATTTAAAACAATGACTACAAGCAACACCACTAACACTTGAAGGGCAGCTCCACAAACTTTTAAACATTTCTGAATCATTCAGTCCCTGTAATGTAAACAGTCGTTCAGAGCGGTTTGGTGTTTATAAGTCTCTGTGTGATGCTAATTTGTGCTCCACAGATCCGCTCGTGTGCTGAGAGGGAGGTGAAAAGGACTGATGACCTGGCAGACGAGGACCGAGGCAACATCAAGAGCTGCGAGGTCAACTACGTGTGAGTCTCAGCTCTTTGTTCATATATACACTGTAATTCAAATCACAGTATCTGACCACATTCCTGACAGCCACTGATTCTGATTGATGGCTTTATTGGTGTCATTTCAGTAACAGATAAAACAAAGTGAATTAATTTTTCATTTGTTTAAACTCATTTATTTTCTGTTTATTGATGTTTGTTGAAGTTTAGAAGTTCAGTTGTACTTGATTTCGGACCAACTGATAATAAGGACACTTAATTTTTTCTAAACGTTGTATTAGAGATGAGACTGATCCAATCCTATGTAGGTATCGGGACCGATATTGACACAATTCACCCATTGGACATCGGATGGACAGGGCAGATCCACTTACCGATCCATTTTCCAGTCCGCATCTTGCGTTGGACCATCAACACGCCGTAACCTAATCTAACATGAAACATCACCGATTTAGATTCCCTTGCACGTCTTACCATGAACCCGCGGCAACTTCAGTCTGTAACTGAGTGAGCAAATTACATCAGCTGTCGGTTTGACTAAAATGTCATTTGTTTGGAGATATTTTAGTCTGGAAACGCCGAAAAGCAAGACAGCTACTTGTAATGTGTGTAAAGCCAGCGTGCCGAGGGGTGGAAGTTCGGATCACAGAGAAGTTACTGAACTTCATTATGTGATGACCAACTACTTTCTGTAGTGGAAAGTGTTGGATTTCGCAGCCTGTTGGAGCTCTTAGAGCCCAGGAATAATCTGCCATCCAGAAAATACATTTCAGAGATTCAGAAACTGCTCTACCCGAACTGCACAATCAAGTGTCATCACAGTTAGCGGCGCAGATAAAGCCATGAGCTTCACAACTGGTATTTGGACCTCAGATGAGAGCCCAGAGTCTCATAAGTCTCACTGTACACTGGGTGAACGCGGAAACATATTCAGAGTGCAGTGCGTCAGGTCAAAAAATAAAGGGGGGGTCACACCAGCAGTTCAGCTGCAGTCTTCATTACAGATGTGCTCAGTGATTGGAAGACGAAACACCTTAAACACACAGTGAAAAGAGCTCTTGTTTCGGAATCTGCATCAGTATCGGCAGTTACGTGTTGGAATTAGATCGGAACTGGAAAAATGTGGATCGGCCCATCACTGCGTCGCATTAAACATTTCAAATAGCTTCGGAAAGCTTTCAACACTGTTAATGCGGCTGTGTTGTGTTTGAACGACAGGAAGAAGTTCCAGAGTTTCCAGGACAGGAAGCTGAGGGTGAACGAGGAGGACAGCGGCACTCTGAAAAAAGCCAGAAAAGACGGAAAATTCCACGAGGCTTTACTGGACAGGTGAGCAAGTTTTTCACCACACACAACCTGGAAATGAGTGACGTGTAGGGATAGGAAATATTTGATTTGAAAATATTATTTCACATAAGTTCAGCGTTTTCACAATACACAACATGCATCACGCTATTTCATTTTTCTGTTCTTGTATGTTTCTTTTAGAACACACAAAACAAAACAAGGTTTTGGTTCAATGTTTTACAAACTGCACTGCACTAAGTTTACTTAAAGAGGCCTAATTATGCTCACTTTGTAATGAAATGTAGTTATTCTACAATGTCTTTCAAGTGCTGACGATATTAATTATATGCTCAGAAAAGTGTATTGTCACAATTTATCACAATAACGATACAATATTGTCATATTGCCCACCCCTAATGTCTGCTCACCTGCAGTAATTCAGTAAATCTGTAGGAAAGCCACTGAATGAAGTGTTGACGTTAATCTTCAATGCAGTGATAATGTAACATAATAACCATCAAATAACCAGGTTTGTTGGTTATTGGATGAAGATATAAACGGTGAATGGTATATATGTGCCAGAATTTTATGTATTTTATATTATTTGGTTTGTAAAGTGTTTTAAATGAGAGCTTATCTTTGTTTTTAACAGGAGATCCAAGATGAAAGCTGACAGATACTGCAAGTGACATGGAAAAACTTTTCTTTTATGCTTTTTTTTTTATTATTATTTTTCTCCCAGTACAGATTCTGCAAAGGTGGTGTCAACTTTGTTTTATATTAAATGTCATACTTCACAAGAGTTTTGTGTGTTCTGTGTAATTTTGTTATTGATATTACCGTGTCCTTGTGGTTTCAGCAGAAGTAGGAACAAGTCACTGAGTTGCAAGTAACAAGTCTCAAGTCTCGACACTCAAGTCTCCAGTCAGTGAAGGCGAGTCAAGTCGAGTCCCAATTCAATAGTCCTAATCTTCGGTTAAACAAGTCAGTCTACGTTCTTCAGCTAATTTAAGGCCACAACATTGAATAACGGTAAGATTACTGTATCCTGTCATTTAATGTATACTGTCTTTTAATGACAGCAGTGTGTGGCTGTATATTAATTTTTTTTATACAATTTTTTTTTAACCTTCCAACTAAAATACAAAATCCATGGTACACAGATAACCATGACGTACTGTATACACAAAGAGTTGTGCAACTACACATGAAAGTAACTTTAAAAGTACTACTGAATTGCTTGTTTCCAGCTTATGGAGGCGAACTTGAATTCCAAACGCTTCACTTGTCTTCCGAAATAAAATGAACCGAGCAGAACCGCAATGACAGACAGATTTACGGCAGGAAACGAATCCATTCACATGAAAAGTAACCGACTGTGTAGAGTCCCGTCTGCAATCAGACTCTCTCCACGTTTCTTCCACTTTGGGTCTCGAGTCTTTCTGAGTCATATGACTCAAGTCCACACCTCTGGGTTTCAGAGCTACAAACAGGACCTTTATCATAAAATCAAGAACAGATTTCACAGACAACTGGGTGTAATACTACTTAAGGCAGTTCTAGTTTAAACACTGATATTTTAAGCTTGTAAAATACACTGAGGTAACATTCTTTACACTGAATGCTGCAGTTTTCAGTGAAACTCTTAGTAAACATTTCAACTTAAAGGCTAACTCTGAATATTGTTGGAGCAGCCTGTTCGCCTATTAGTGATCTTTTGAGCTGCTCAGTCTAGATCTAGTTGTTAAACTAAACTATGTTCTTGTTTCATTATGTTTCAGATTTTTTTAGTTCTCAAACGTGCTGCATTTATGAAATTGTGCTGCCAGTTTCCTCCCTTTCAGTGACACATTTGCATTTTGTGTTTCTTGAAATCGGAGTAATGCTCAGTAATTGTCTCACAAAAAGTTCACAAAAGTGTTGTGTGCCAGAGTGGTGGTTGCATAGGTTTTGGCCAGTGTAGTGCCTCTTTTAAGCTGGTTCAGTTTTCAGTCGCTTCAGTTTCAGAAATGGACGCGGTTATAATTACACATTCATTCATTCATCATCTTTAACCGCTTAGTCCAGATGGGGTCGCGGTAGCAGTTGGGAGAGCAGAGAATCCCGGACGACCCTGTCTTCCCCCGGAATGAGCTGGAGGAAGTACCCTCAACTTGGAGAGATAATCCCTCCAGCAGGTCCTAGGACGACCCCAGGGTCTTGTTCCGTTAGGTCGTGCCTGGTAAACCCCCACCGGGAGGCGTCCAGGGGGCATCCGGATCAGATGACCAAACCACCGCAGCTGGCTCTTCTCAATGCAGAGGAATAGTGGCTCGACTCCGAGCTCCTCCTGGATGACTGAGCCCCTCACCCCGTCAAGTAGAGTGTAGCCCACCACCGTGTGAAGAAAGCTCATTTCCGCCGCTTGTGTTCGCGATCTCATTCTTTCAGTCATTACCCAAAGCTCACATGTGAGGGTCGGGATGTAGACCGACCGGTAAACAGAGAGCTTCGCCTTATGGCTCAGCTCCCTCTTCACCACTACAGTCCGGTTCAGTGACCGCATTACTGCTGCCGCCTGTCCCAGCCTTCGCCCGATCTCACCATCCCTCTTCTCATCACTCATGAAGTGCCACTGTGTTAAAATTTCATGTTGTAGTTCTGGAGATGAGAGTTTTTGTCCCAACAGTGATGGTATGTAATATATGTGGACCTGAAACTGCAGCAAAATTTAAACTTCATCTCCATCAACCAGCTCTTTCATTCACAGCAGATAAAAGTGGACTTGCTGTTGTTTAAATCCACCACAAGATGGCAGTGTGAGCAAAAACAAGAACCTGAAGTCCAGAGGCAGCTTTCAACTTAGTACGTACAGGCATGTGTTATTAGTGTGATAGAGGCGCTCATTCACATTGATCTGTTACTTCACACTCAGATATTACATTCATAACTTCATTTTTGCTCTGTTTTTGTGTTTAAAAGGGGAATTCCATCCATTTTTCAGAATTTCTGTATCATTCAGTGTCTGAGATGTGAACAGAGTGATTCAGAGTGGTTTGGTGTGAAATGGTTCAGATGTCTTTACAGTGGTGGTGATAGGAACCAGGGGTTGCCATGACTACAACCCAAATATAGACATTTTATTTACTGTGGAGCTAAACGGCTAGTTTCTAAAAACTCGCCCATTTTAGAAAGTAGGAGGATGGATTTCACTAAAAAGGCAAAGAAAACTCACCTGTATGTTTACTTTTTCTACAGCAAACGGGTTTTGGGCAGCAGGACGCTAACATTACTGTGGCTGAGTGCTGATTGGTTAGCATTACTGCTGATTGGTTGGCAAGCGGAGCAGCTCATTGGCTGTTTGTGCTCACAGACATCATGAATGTACATGAGGCGCCGTTTTAAATTACAGAATGACGCATGACTACAGGGGTCTGTTGTACTTTGTTGCCATTTTCTAAAGGCCCTCAAAGCTGTGTGTTAGTGGTTTCACCAATATTTACTGGGTTTAAAGGTTAAAAGTAAACTTTGGTAAAATCACTGTAACAGATTTAAACCTGAACACAGAATCTCGTGTCCCAGACAGCGTTTTTAGGTTCAATTTCCCAATTAAAACTTTGAATAATATAGGATAAAATAAAATTTGCAGCTCTTGGGATTTGAAAATTGCAGTTTTATAAATGTTATCGCAGTTCAGCTCTAGGAAATTTTCAGTGGCTCCTGCTTTACCTCAATAGACAAAGCTGGTTACAGCTTTAACTCACGTCCAGGAGTCGGTGTAGCTTTACTGAGAAAGTAAAAGTTATAAAAGCTCATCTTTCACGCTAAACTGTCCCTCCACTCTAATAGTGTCAGCTCACTGAACTGTGTAGTGATAAATATGATATAAACCCGCTAGCTAGCCAATGCTAACCCCAGTTATCTGGTTGGTTTAAGTCCTTTAGAGCTGGATGGTTTTATTCTGGTGAAGTTCTGTACTTCAACTGATTAGTGAACTGTGATTATAATCCAGTATGAATCTGCACTGTGTGTAGTTTTTACAGTCTGACAGTCATAATTCTGGACTGAATTACCGTCACTGCCTTCAGCTCAGTGCTCTCTCAGTAGAAAGTGTAGAGATGTGTCTCAGTCGTAAGAGACGGTGTTTGTTTCTCACAGTCTAAAAACACTCCCAGCTTTGAGAACCGATCTCTCACTAGAACAGGAGTCTGAGAGGGATCATTAACATAGTAACCTTTCTCTTTCTCATAGTGAAGAACCCAGTAGCCGTTCAGAAAAAAAGTAGACTTGAAGCATTTTTAGACTAGTATAAATGTGCTCTATCAAAGGAAGCACTGAAGTGTAGTAACTACAACAATAATCTATACATGATTATGAAATATATGAATTAAATGACATAAAGAAAACAAACGGCAAATAAATATTATAAAATATATAAAGAAACTTCTTGTCCCCAGGAGTCGTGTCACTGGTGTTACTGCGTAACAAAAGTAAGAAAGAAAGAAACTAAGAAAGCAAGAACGAAAATAAGAAAAAGAAAGTAAGAAAGAAAGAAAATAAGTAAGAAAGTAATTTACAAAGAAAGAGTAAGCAGAAAGAAAGTAAGAAAGAAAGAAAATAAGAAAGTGTAATAAAGAAAGAAAGACAGTAAGAAAGAATGTAAGAAAGTGAGTGAGAAAGAGTAAGAAAGAAAAAAAGAAAGTAAGAGAGAAAGTAAGAAATTTACAAAGAAAGAGAGTAAGCAGAAAGAAAGTTAGAAAGAAAGAAAATAAGAAAGTGTAATAAAGAAAGAAAGACAGTAAGAAAGAATGTAAGAAAGAGAGTAAGTAAGAAAGAAAATAAAAAAGAAAATAAGAGAAATTAAGGACGAGAGTAAGAAAAAAAGTAAGAAAGTGAGTGAGAAAGAAAGAGTAAGAAAGAAAAAAAGAAAGTAAGAGAGAAAGTAAGAAATTTACAAAGAAAGAGAGTAAGCAGAAAGAAAGTTAGAAAGAAAGAAAATAAGTGTAATGAAAGAAAGACAGTAAGTAAGAAAGAAAATAAGAAAAAGAAAAAAAAGAGTAAGCAGAAAGAAAGTAAGAAAGAAAGAAAATAAGAAAGTGTAATAAAGAAAGAAAGAATGTAAGAAAGAGAGTAAGTAAGAAAGAAAATAAAAAAGAAAGTAAGAAAGAAATTAAGGACGAGAGTAAGAAAGAAAGTGAGTGAGAAAGAAAGAGTAAGAAAGAAAATAAGAAAGTAAGAGAGAAAGTAAGAAATTTACAAAGAAAGAGAGTAAGCAGAAAGAAAGTTAGAAAGAAAGAAAATAAGAAAGTGTAATGAAAGAAAGACAGTAAGTAAGAAAGAAAATAAGAAAAGAGTAAGCAGAAAGAAAGTAAGAAAGAAAGAAAATAAGAAAGTGTAATAAAGAAAGAAAGACAGTAAGAAAGAATGTAAGAAAGAGAGTAAGTAAGAAAGAAAATAAAAAAGAAAGAAAGTAAGAAAGAAATTAAGAAAGAGTAAGAAAGAAAATAAGAAAGTAAGAGAGAAAGTAAGAAATTTACAAAGAAAGAGAGTAAGCAGAAAGAAAGTTAGAAAGAAAGAAAATAAGAAAAAGAGTAAGCAAGAAAGAAATTAAGGACGAGAGTAAGAAAGAAAGTGAGTGTGAAAGAAAATAAGAAATTTACAAAGAAAGACTAAGTAAGTAAGTAAGAAAGAAAGTTTTATATTTTACATGCTTTTGGCAAAAGTTGAGCAGGCTCTTTTTTTAAAATTTTTTTCTTGCAAAAAGCTGCATAACCCCTTTCTGTCCACTGTGCTGGGCCCCAGGGGGGAAGGCGGATACACCTT